GGTTTACCCCCCCCCACACACACACACACCTTCAATTAGCTCCCCCAAACACTTTCAAATTCCTTCCGACGCCTATGTAAATTATTAATCATCTGATGAGAAATGAGTATGAAATCGAATCACAATAACAGGTATGCTTAGATTAAAGCAAGGTTTAATAGTATTTACAATTTGCATAAAGGATGACTGCACTTAAGGATATGCGAAATTTGCGTCAAAATAAACTTTCAAATCAGACATTTTTCTATCAATTACAGAAATTATCAACATCTGATCTAAAACTTTACTCAATTGCAATAAACGAAAGTATTTATTTACAATGTACGAATCTGTTTTCTGAGGTTGGAGTCAACACCATTTTTTCAACCTCCATACGATAATGAGGACGCCAACTTTTTAATTGACTTTATATATAATTAACCAGCGCAAGTTTGTCTATTGTTTATCTTTCAACAGCAGTTGTATATTTACATAAGTAATGTTGCGTTAAAAGGAGATTAATAGACAAACATGCGATAGAAGTTAAAAAGAGAAAAAAACTGCTTCTTCTTTCACTCTCTCTCTCTCTCTCTCTCTATCTCTCTCTCTCTCTCTCTCTCTCTCTCTCTCTCTCTCTCTCTCTCTCTCTCTCTTATGTAACCAAGGGCTGAGACACGTTGAATATTATAATTCAGCGCGTGATTTCTTTCTTTAGGTAATTTTGTGAATACTAAATTTTGTCACGTGATTTTTGATGGCATGTTTTGTGATAACTAGAAAGCAGTGTTTGAACACGTTGAATAGTCAGCCATCAATTCAAAATATTCTTTACTTACATGGATGGGCTCATACGTTTTAAACCTTTGTAAATAATGTACTTGTGCAATACAACATATATAGCAAGACTGAAAATAGAGATCTCGTATATTTTGATACATGTTATTATTATTCATCCAGTCTCATTTTAGATCCATTCTTTCGATGTTAGCTCCTAGCTCCTCTCATACATATATAATGTTTAATCAAGGGAAGGTAAGTGTTAATTATCTGTTTTCTGAAAACCATGATGACAAAAAACATGAAATTAATTATTGTATTACAGACTAAAATTATTCTTAACATTTAAATTAGGTGTGAAATGGAAATACTTAAGTAGTAAATATATGAAAGTGAAATAAAGTTAACATTTAAAAGCAACAGATGCGATCGAAAAAGATCCAAAACACAGCGTTTAGTGCAGTCATCCTTTGGAAATAATGACCTAACATATCGAGAAGAAATCAATGTTTTGATTTGTTGGTGATTATTCTAAAAGCAAATTAGAATGTGCATGACACTTTCGTGTATGAATTTAATACCTTTTTGTGCTTAATTGTAAAACAATTTCCAGTTACGTATATGTCGTATATGGACTTGAAGATAATACTTTTCAAACCTTTCAATGCGCCACTTAAGGGGAGACAGGGAATATGTCACATGACAAAAAAGACATATTACGTCATAATCGGTGGTGATATACATGTTAAAGCCATATATGGCGTATCTACAATGAAAATTATTAGACTAAAATTATAAGAACTTATTATTTGTACCATTACTTTATATAAAGATAGAACTTTTCCGTAAATTACAAAAACTAAGTCAATTGCGTTATAAAGATATCAAAATTAAATTTGGATTCTCGGAATTTTCTCCGACTCGGAAGAAAATACAAAAGATTTAAATAACACATTACAGAGAAGATAAAATCGTATAATTAGATGAAACGAGATGTCCTCCGTGTTCAGAATTGTATGAAAAGCTTTAATTTAAATGTATTAACTATATTTCTTTACTTAATTTTGTATTTTTCAAAAATATTTTTTTTGATCAGTTACGCCATATATGGCTTTAAACATTGTTAAAATCAGCAATTCTTGTGTAATTTAATTCTAATTTTTAAAATTGTTTTTTAAACATTTAATTTTAGAAATTATTATTAATAAAGTTTGTAAAGATGTTGCCATCATTTAGATATTGTGAAGTTGCCCAATCCACACAGTTGTTTCTCTTTACCCTGCAGTCTGACGTTCGTGACGTCATAGACGTTTCTCTTTACCCTGCAGTCTGGCGTTCGTGACGTCATAGACGTAGTTTTTGAATTCTCAGTGCAGCGAGATCAAGTACATACACCCGTCATGATCAGTTTTATTTCATAATAAACAGGTCAGAGTCAATGTATCATGATAAATATCTGAAGCAGATTTTTTAAATTAATATTTTTTCGTGTTTACTAGCACAACTTCTCTCTATTTAGATAATTTTGAATGTTTATGTTTTCTTGTGACGTCACAATTGATTTCCCGCACTCGGAAAATACAAACGTGAAGCGTTTTTATCATGCTTACATCTAATTCAACGATGTCCTGTGCGATATTGAAGTAAGCTTCACCCTGTGATATTTATGCAGTAAATAATTACGATGAAGAACTGACATTCAATCGTAAATTTAGAAATATTTATTGACAGGATTTTTTCCAAATGAGTTTTTTTTTGTTGAAGCTTCCTTGAAAAATGCAGAAATTATCCCACCCAAATACTATATAAAATTAAAACTATTGCGTTCAGATAATATAAACACAATGAATATTCTGAAATATTTGAGTATATAGTGTTATCTATCATATTTATTGTTTGTGCGTAAAAATTAGCATTATGGACTCCGTTAATTATGGGCCCATAAACATAAAGTATCTAAACTCTATAAAAACTCTAAACATGGCGATATTTGTGGGTCGATATCTTTTTAATAAGTCAAGAAATCCCATGACAGGACCGTTTTAAAATGTTAAGTACATATTAAATTAGTAATATAGAAAATACGAAAAAAATTCATTGACAGGAATTTTTTCAGCTAAAGGTCATGTTCCTCCTTAATTCTGATGCTATAAGTATGTTAAGATATACGAACTGAATAAAAAGAAAACAAGAAGGGGTTTTGCTCATTTAGTGCATCTTTTCTGAGGATACCATTAACAAAAACAACAAATATAAATCAACAGAGAAAAAATGTAATTTTATTTTGTATTCAGACCTCAATTAATTTACATACAAAATACAACACGTATGTTAATGTGCAAACGCTTAAATATTTGTATTATTTTTAAAAACCCAGAGTATTATATCTAAAAGATATAATATTGATAAATAATACTTGATTGTGAATCTTTATTTTTTCATTATAATTTTATTGATTATCATGTTCATGTATTATTTACTTCTAATTTGTATCTTGACCAATTATAAAAGGAGAGGGCTTACATAGGCATTGCCTGTTGCCCAATCCTGATTGAATTATATTCAATAAAATATGTTTAAAGTAAAAACCCAGAGTATATTGAATTAAATTGCCTCACATCCAATTTATATCCCCACTACTACTCTTATCAGTTTCGAGGAATTTTACTAAAAATGACATAGAAACTTAGTCAGAGACAATTTTTTTGAGCTTTGTGTGTAAGTCAAATATATTTATAAGCTTTTCACTTCAACGTCTCGAGCGGGACGTTAAACAATATATAATCAATTACTCAATACTTCATCGTAAATTTACATAAATAAATGGATCGCTCAGACTTTTCACAGGAATATGCGTGCATTGATTTGCATCAAAGGATAACAAAAAACAAAAAAAACCAATGCATGGATGGCTATACAAAAAGATGAGTTGAGTTTCTATTCAAAATTGAAGGTGATGCTTAATAGAATATCGCATATAACAAAGAGTTTAATACGAGGTATAAATTCTTACAATATTTACAGTGTTATTCAGTTTTACAATTAATTATCTTTCAGTCCATCCGATGCCAAGCTGAATTTCCTATTAAATAAAACATGACCTTTCCTTAACTTCTACAAAACATAAAACAGATTTTTGAAAAATAAAATGGCTTTCAATTTGGGATAGGATAAAAGGTGTTTTTTTATTTTTAATTTTTGGTGTGTTTTTTTATTTTTAATTTGTATACTTAATAGTTTAGCATTTTCCCTCTTTTAAATGAAATAATGGAAAACGTGTCTATATATTTGATAAAATATCTTCATGAAAAATAAATGTTTTCTTTCGAAATAATCAAAGAGAATAAATGTTACACGCATTAGATAAGATGAAGGTGGGTAAAAAAGTTAAGTGTTTAAATAAAAAATAAACATGTTTACTCTTTTTTTCCATTCTCAATTTCGCGTTTGTTTTATTTCAGTGAATTGGAATTCATGCTAGCACTAACTATTTTGGGGGTTTTGTCTCTTTTCTGAATGATTAACTGTGGCAAGTCCTTTGATAATCTCAATTTCTTTTTAAGACATACATTCTGGATCTCATTTTATTTGTAATCAAACAAAAGTAAAGACTTTCACTATATAACCTTAAAAAATAATTATAAAATAAGTAAAGACTTTTAATATGTAAACTTAAAAAAGACATAGAATAATAAAAGACTTTTACTGTATGACCTCACCGTTTTATCATTGGAAATATTCATTTTCATTCTTTATTTATTAATTGTACATATCCCTTTGTACTCATACTAAAGGACGCAACAGATCATGACACAATGTCAGTCTCTTATTAAGATATATCACTGAAGAAAAAAAAAACATTGATGTTAAATTAACACTACTGGGTATGTTTTCTAACTTTTCTATCGTTATCTTTTCTGATTTTTATAATAAGAAATTTTTTGACAGGGAATGTTTTGTCCACTTTGGCATCTAATCCAATCTCTGTTTTCAGAGATATGTTGGTTCTGTATAGAACTTTTATTCCTTCATTGAATATACTTTGAAAATCATTACTGTTGGTTATCTTCCTATTATGTAAAGTGGGGTTTCAACAGATGAAGGACAAGTTAAATTTTGGCTGCAACACACAATTATATCGGGGAGAGGGGAGATGTATGTCTTTCATTCAATATTATATAGCCAAGTTATACCTAAACAAAACCAATTCTTAAATAAAACTGTCTCTATCCAGTGGTTTACTCACCTTTATACAATTTTACGTTTGCTTCCCTTATCAGAGTTCATCTGTCAGAGAAAGTAGAAAGATTGATTAATTTGGAATGTCAATTAACATATTAAATATCGATATTACATAAATAATTAATAAGAAAATCAATTAACATATTAAATACTAGCATCGATACTGGATAAATAATAATTAACAACAAAATTTTATTGATTGCTTAATTTCCCTTTACTTGTCCCCATTTGTCATTATCACCATTCTGACTAAAAAAAACAATATTAGCCTATAGTTCCTGAGCTTTATAATTAAAAAGAGTTTCACTCCCTTTCAAATTGGCCTCTTGTTCTTTAAAGAGCATTTAATGAACAGAGATTTGAGTTTTGTTTTGCAACCTTAAATGATCATTAAACGTACTTAAGTACCCTTCTTTTTATATTATCAAAAATCTTGTAAAATTAATTCCTTTTATTTCAACTGGTATTTAAATTACATTATATACAGTAGCTTTTATGTAAAGTGAAAATAAATAAGAGGACCTCTCAGTAGATTACAAATACTACAATTGATTAAACTGTTAAATGGCGTCTTCTTCTGAATACTTCAAGATATATAGTAGCTGTAGAACCGCAGCGCTCTGCTTGAGAAAATTCAGACAGATAAAGCAGGTGCAGAGAGGTACAGATGCATGCATTGTAAAAACCTTCGATTTACGCCGATGATTTTTGTAGCTACTCTTGATATTAATTTCGTGAAGTTTAAACTTTCCCTGGCTTTAAGAATTATATCCTTTAATCAAGCATATATCTAACTCTTATTTTTCTACTTTAGGCCACACCAATTCAATTTCTTGTTCGTCTGACAGTTGATGAAAAAAGTATGAGCGGGCTAGCAGTTAAATAATAATAATGATATTACATTTTGTGGGCAAAATGCTTAGGTGGGGCGTAAAAAAAATGAGCAGACAATAATATTTTTTCTGACTTGCAGTGAAAGTGAATAAAAATAAAAGTACGATAAATAGAGCGGAAATGAAACAGAAAACTGTACGGAATTCCCATGGTGTGGGAAATTTAAATTAATATTATTTGTATAGGTAAGTTTAAATTTGAGCATGCGGGTCCGACGAAAAAAAAATTCTTAGAAATTTTGGAAAAGTCAGCCATATTCAAATGAACTTTGCACTCGGTTAGATCATTTAATGCCCAAGAAGAAGAATTTCAAAAGAACTTATGCATTTACATGTAACCATATAATCTATATAGCCCCACCCTAGCACTAGAACCTCTAACCAAGGTGCCATACGATGCACAAAGCACGAACCAAGCATGTTGTATATGTGGAAATTATACCTGATATAATCTGTATATATTGTGTTGAATATTAAAGGGTTATTGAACTTATATTGGTTAATATTGGCACGAGTGGGCTGTTCAGATGCACGAGCTCGCAAGCGCATTTGAACAGCCAACGAGAGCCAACATGCATCAATAAAAGTTCAATAACTCCTTCTAAAACATTTTCACATAATTTATAATAATATTAAAACAAAAAAAAACCTCAAATTAATGATTTTCTAGTATCAGTATTCAAATTAACGTCTGTCCTGTTAGCGTTCAAAATCGCATCATTCCGATGACCTTACCGAGCGATATGATTTGCTTATTTAGGTTTTAATTGGTCTAATACGTACTTTATTCTCATGAAATAATTTTTTTAGTGTGAAAAATAAACACATCTTACCTAGATGTCACTTCTTTTCTTTAATTTAGCTCTGACAATTTTACTAGACAAATTTTTTTGTTTACAACGCGGCGTTCGATATTGAACGCTCGTATTCGGAATGTTTCGGGCATACTCATATACGCCATACAAAGTTAGCGTTCAATAAAACGTCAAGATATTCAACGCTAAAATTCTCTAGGTTTTAGTAGTATTTTATTAGAGACTATTTATTAGCTATATAATAAAAGCATTATTGTTTCTATGTTATTTAAGGAATGTGGTTATTTCAACTTTTGCTATATGATATAACGTAACTTTAACATGAAGCAATTTATAAAGAAGAAGACCATGGGCCTTATAGGTCAAATGAGCATCAAGCAACAACTTTCCAATGTTTCAATTTAGTTCATGATTTAAGCTACATGCTTTGTCCTTTACAATTTTTATTGAGGCACCATTGATCATCAAAACAATACACTCAGCAATTTCTTAGTTTGGTTACTAAAACCCATAGGAAGAATAGGGGAACAAAAAATGCATTTCAACTAATCAGTAATATTCAGCAATAATCAATAGTGCCCCTTCCACACAAAAACCCATCATTCTACGTCCATAATTGCACAATTTTTGAAAAGGCACCCTTGCTTATTACAAATGTTTAATTAATACCAGGGAGCAGATTTAAAACAATTGATTCATTTTCAGTATATAAGTAGAGCCCCTAACCTTGTCTACAGTACCCCTGACCTAGGGGCCTTGAAAATCACAATTCTGGAAGAAGGGCCCTTGTTACGTTACCTGGTAGTTTATCTGCTAAATACCCAGGAGCAGAGAAGGAAATTTTTAAAGATTTATAGTTTTTTTCACTATATAAACAATAAAGTCCCGCCCTAACACCAAAACCACTAACCCTGGGGCCATAAAATATTCAATTTTTCGGTAGAAGGGTCACTCTTCTTCATCATAACTATATACTTAGTTAGTTTATTTAATTCCCAAAAGCAGAGAAGAAGATTTTCACATAATTAATGTATTTTCACTACATAAACAATAGAACCCTGCCCTAACACCAAAACCCCTGACCTTGGGTCCATTAAATTCACAATTTTGAAAGTTGCAAACTTGCTCATCATAACTATGTACTTAGTTAGTTTATTTAATACCTAGGAGTAGTGAAGATTTTCAAAGAATTCATGTATTTTACTATATAATAGAGCCCCGCCCTTACACCAGAAACCTTGCATTTGGGGCCATAAAATTCACAATTTCTTGTTCATCAAAACTATGTTCTTAGTTAAATTATTTTATTCTCTGGAGCAGAGAAGATTTAATGTATCTTCATTATATAATTAATAGATCCCCGCACTAACACCATGACCCCTTTTCCTGGGGCCATAAAGTTCTCAATTTTTGAAGGGTCACTCTTCGTCATCATAACTATTTACTTAGTAAGTTTATTTAATACACAACAACAGAGAAGAAGATGTTTTTTCACTATATAAACAAAATTTTTGAGCCCATAGATGGTCTTATGCCAAAATTTGTTGACCTTGGGAGCCATTAAAAAGACAATGTTTGAATGTTAACACACGCAAACTTGTTCATCATTACTATATACTTAGTTAGTTTATTAATACCTAAAAAGAGAATATTATATCGTTAAACATAATTAAATAAGCATTTTCATATTTAATTTATGTAGCCCCACCAATTTTCGCATTTTTTCCTTCGGAAAAGGGCTTCAAATATTGCATATTTCACAAGTTTTGGTAGTAATATATTTTTGGAACTCATTGTGACTCATTACATTATACAAAATTTAACTGTTTAATGTCAAGGACGTGTTAGAACTAAAGATTTTTATAATAGATGGCACTAATTTCCAGTGGTTTTTGCCCCACCCTCAGGCCTATTTCCAGGGGGGTTTTTCGAAAAAAATTATTGAATGATATGATTTTTCTGCAAAATTTTATAATTCTGGTGATAGAATTCCCTTCACCCCTAGCATTGTTTATTTGCCAAAACTTGCTGAAATTGGTTAAACGATTTCAGAGATGTATTAGCCGAAAATGTTCGCAATGTTAACACACGACGCACTCCAAACAGAATTTTCCGCCATGTTGTACGGATAGGGGTAGGTCATGTGAGTTAATTCAAGTGACCTAAAAAGCGTTATATTATATCGTATAAACATAAATTGAAATAAGATTCATTTTTTATAATTTAATTTCAATGTAGAACAATGACACAATTTTCCCATTTTTTCCTTCGGAAAAAGGCTTCAAATATAGCGTATTTCGAATGTAAACATCAAGCGGAGTAATATGTTTTTGATGTCACTCGTAATGACGTAGGCAATTTATGCTATACAAAATGGATAAAACCGTGTTACCAATCAAATGACGCGTGTTCCAACTAAAATCATAACACAATGAAGATCACAGACTCATACTAGCAAGTTTCGTTTTTGCCGATTTTCAGACTCTTTGTCGATCCTGTTTCGTCTAGTTTACTTTTTTGTTTAAAAAAATTATTGACTATGATATGGATTTTTCTGCATGATTTTATAATCTGGTGAGAGTTTAGATCCTTAGCATCTTGTTCTATTTGTGGGCATTTCTAGTGACTTTTAACTGAGATTTCCAGAGATGTATTACCCGAAGGTGGAGTGCAATTTTCTTCATAAGTGGCCTCTCCTAAATTGCAGAATTTTCCGCCATGTTGTGGAGAGGGGTTGGTACATGTGCGAGATTTAGTTCTTTTACCACGTCCGTTGACAACTTCGCATTTACTCCAATGAGACCATTCTGTCCATCCACCATCAACTAAAAGAGATTTATTTATTACTAAATATGTAAAAACTCTATATATTTTTTTTTAATGTGAAACTACGATTCCCAATTGTGGCATCGTCGTACCCCTTGGGGTCATAATTTCAACAATTTAAAATCTACACTACCATAGACTGCTTCTACAAAAGTCTCAGCTTTTATGGCCCAGTTGTTCCTTACCGGTATATATTTCAATGTGAAAATTGGATTTGATAAACATGTACACTCACAGGCCATTTTATCGCTTAAAAAAATTGGTGTGTAATTAGAAATAAAGGTATTGAATTTTTACACTGGGTACCCAATTTTCATAATAAAATATTTTTTATTCAAATATTCTAAAATTCTTTATTTTAGAATATCTTATTCCGAAATTCCATATACTTCTCGAGATATTCTGAAATCAATTTCAAAAATGACCTACTTTCTTTACTTGACATTAGCTTGGGCCCCTGGTCATTCACATGTAAACAGACGGTGTTTGAAGTGTAGCGAAGAGTTGCATAGTATTTGAAAAATCTTTCAACATTTTAAAGTTGATTTTTTACTCCATATTGTAAGGTTACTACTATTTCTTTTCGCGAAAAATTAATCTGAAAAGGTCTACATCGACAACTGCACAGCCATGTTGATTATGAATAAAAAAGAAGCCATGATTGAAAGAAATTACCGTATATACTTTTCGATTTTCAAAACAATTAGACCGCTAAAATGTTGTTTGTGACTTAGTGAGATCATACGTTTAAATTAGAGAATTAGAGCCTTGTATAGCTTGAATGAAAATAAGCAAATATTCATTGAGTTAAGAGTAAATTCCGGGGACAATTTGTCCCGTCCTTCTCGCTTAAAAATGTTTAGCTCTTCAAGGGCCCAAGCTGATGTCGAGCAAAAAAAAATAAAGGTCAATTTTGTAATTGAATTCAGAATATCCCGAGAAGTGTAAGAAATTACGGAACTTTGGTTGTAATGAATATTTTTTATACGTATAGATATGGATAGAAAGTAAAATTATGAAGCAATGATTTTGATTTAAAGAATTTTATTGGCTAAAATGGTATCCTATGAAAAGAGCTCCATACTTTTATTTTTTTTTCAACACCTATTTTTTTTTTTCTACGCGATCTAAAGTCCTGTGGTACACTGTTTTGTGGTTCGAGTGATTTCAACAGTTTGGTGTCTACACTACCCCAGGATGATTTTCCATAAGTTTTATCTTTTCTGACCCAGTTGTTCTTGAGAAGATTTTAAAAGAATTATTCTACACATTTTAACGGGAAACTTTGATTCTCTATTGTGATCCCGCCCTACACCCAGGGGTCATGATTTGAGAATCTTCACTACCCCAGGATGATTTCACATAAGTTTTAGCTTTTCTGGCCTAATGGTTCTTGAAAAGAATTTTAACGACCCCACCCTATATTTGTCTTTTCTTAATTATATCCCCTTGAAAAGGGCCTGACCCTTAATTATGCGCCCGGATCGATAAATCCAAAGTGTATATTGTTTTTGTCCTGTCTGTCTGATTGTCTATTTACTAAATTCGCTAAAATACGTTTGCGCCAAATGTTGAACAGTATCTTTTTGTTTTATCTGTTTGTCTGCAAAATCTAACCTTCGTCAGAACTTTTGAATTATGATAGACAGAGACTTAAGTTTCGGAATGCAATTCTACTGCAATAATTAATTTCATTTCAAATAATACCAGGTCAATGACTATGTGAACTTGACTGTGACCTATATGCTTAAAAAGCGACTTTGCTAACTTTAACGTTCGCCATAACTTTTGAACCTTGAAAGATAGAGACTTCATATTTAGGATGCATACTCCACTAATACAGCTCTTACAAATGACTTTGTGACCTTGGTTGTGACCTTTATGTTAAAATAGCTTTTTGTTCCTTAAGCATAATTTTGAACAATGAAAGATAATGACTTTATAATATGATATGCATAATCCCCTAAGTCCCCCTTACCCAAGGATGCTTTGTACCAATTTGGTTAGTTTGTCCAGTGGTTCTCGAGAAGAAGTTAAATATATGAAAAGTTTACAGACGGACGGGCAGATGGACGAATTGTTAGTCAGATCAAGGACAGCAAAATGCAAAATATCACTTGATCTTTCAGCAAACATGTTACATCATATCATTATTAGTTTTTATAACTTTACCGGTTACGGCTTCAAAGCATAGTGTGAAGGTACATTGTATTTCATATATATATTCCAAAATTCGATCTTAAATTCATAACTTTTCTAATATTTCATATTTGAATTAAAATTATTGCTAAGTTCAGTTGTGTTTCAAATTCAAAGACGTGTCACCTTTTGTTGATTTTTCGCATAAGGATGGCAATTTCTTTGTGCAAACTTGTGGATAAATAACGGGGTACAGAGTTCCATCTCCTTTTACTTTAACTGCTGCGCAGTGAATATGATCTGAGTTGCTTCCTAGGCTGTTGCTGAATACGTTGTTGCTTCCTAAGTTGTTGCTGTATACATTGTTGCTTCCTAGACTGTTGCTATATACGTTGTTGCTGGTTGTGAGGGCATAATCTTTGCATAAGAAAACATCAAGTTTTTTTTTTGTTATTTCAAACGAATTTCCAGTGCCAAAGAAGAATCTTATGCTTTCTTTGGTGTTTATTCATATTTACCAATAGGGTTCCAGTATTCCTTGCTTTGTCTTTGAAATCCTGTCCAAAATGCACGATATTTAACGGACTCAGTCAAGTCTGTATAATGACCATTAACGTCAGTCTTCAAAGTACCACACTGTCTGACAGCTTCTGTCCAGGTCACTTCTGCAGTTGATACTCGGCCATCTAAAATAAAATCGCAAAAGAGAATTCAGGTCAAATTTTAAAGCAAAAAAGTCCGTGTTACATGAAAAGTTCATGATAAGCCCATTGGTTTGTACAGTTGAAACTAGTAAGAAAAATACTTTTAATTGTGGAAGATAAACTTATTTCAATTTACATTCATTTTATATGATAATAGATAATATATATCTGGACATTACGTTTACCTACCTGCACATATATACCCAATTCTGTTCTGACAGGAAGTAAACTGATGATGTACCGGAAGTGATCCTAGATATCTCACGGCAGCACAATTACCGAAATCAGGGGCTGAAAACGAAAATAGGAATGTTTTGATCAATTTTCTTATATTTACCTAGTTTTCTGCACCATTTAATCTAGTCTTTATGGACAATTTATTTAGTTTATATTCAAGTATATTATTTATTCTTATGACACTAATTAAGCAAAATCTTACTTCAAATAAAAGTCAATAAAAATAGTACGTATTAGATTTTGTGCCTTTTGGGGAATCTATCAATATATATCTTATGTTATACATAGGCGTTGGAACCGGAATGTGTGTGTGTGTGGGGGGAATTACCCTCACCCCACTATTTTGCAAAGATATACTAAATATAGGTATTTAAAATTGGGGTTTACCTTTCTTTGGTGGTATATCCACCCTTTCAATTAGCCCCCACCCTTTCAATTGGCTTCCGTACCTATGTTATATCAAAAAATCATAAGGTGATAACTGAAAATGTCTTTGTAACTTAAGTTTTACCGTGTGTGAAAGGACTGTGTATGATATATTGGTACACCACCACACTTTCGTCATTGGGTCCTCCAAACAGTTCATTGGGATTCTCTGGCAAAGCCTCATAGACACAATCTTCATTTCTCTTGCGGTATTTTTCTACATCAGTATAACAGTAACATGTTTTTTTCTATAATAAAGAAGAATTTCTATATTGACTAGTATAACCCCTCGTATCTAAGGTTAGTCATTAAGAAAGACAGTATTTTTTGTATTCTCGAGGTCAGTCCTGATCTAAGTAAAAACGGGTTTTGTGGCTTTATGGGAGTCACTTTTTATAACATAAAAACTAGTTGTATTTTCTAAATTGAAAAATCATTTTTTTTAAGGATAAAAAGATCACTTCGTGTAATTTTCGGTCATTGTGAAATCATTTCTCGTTAAATTGAAATGTGCAAGTATTGCATTTCTTTTTGGTCTTCTCCTTTTTTTTTTGGGGGGGGGGGGGGTCTCTAGATAAGACCTTAAAAACCTGAGTTCTTAGTAAAGGTCAAAATTTGAAGCCCTTCGCCGGCATACGTTGACGTCTCCATATGAGTGAAAAATTATGTAGAACAAGTTAGAATAAGTTAAACAATATAAAATCTATCAATCAGTCTTTTTTGTGGTGTTTATAAAGATTTCAGAGAGGTAAAGAAAGAAGCAGTTAATGAGCGCCGAAGATGTAAAATATTTTGATTAGTACTATATTACCGATATACCAATTGCTGCAATTCCATAAAATTGACTGCAGTAAATAGTGCAGGTAGATGTGCTTTTTGGAATGGGAAACACATCAAAATCAATATGTTCGGTTGCATCGTAGGTTTCAAAGCAGCCTTAAAAAAATACAAAAACACTCTATGAGACCTTTTAGGCTTTATATGTAAAAGCATGTTTTTAATTAAATTGTAAGGTAAATACTATACATAGGAGCAAAACGGATTCTTAATATAGATTTAATATTTTGCTAATATTAACATGCATTGAGACGTTTTTACTAAAAAAAAATTACTACAGTATCACAAGTTAAATGAGCAAAATTTTTTTTACTTTCATATAATAATTGTCACACATTTTTGTAAGTTTTGAAGATCATTTTATAGAAATATATGTTTTAAGCAGATTATTTTGAGTTAAGATTTTTTTAAAAGGAGGAACAGACAAAGAACAGACAAGAATACAACTAAACAAAGGTAAAACACTTCTAACATGTTTTAATTTTTACTTATTTTGGTACAAACTACTACCTAATAGTTTAAACCATGGCGATTGATAAACTGTTGCTCCTATCCAGAAAAACTGATCCTGTCGGAAACCAGAGGGCGAGGCCGGGACACTGAATCCTTTTGTGCTGACACTTCTTCTTTCCCAGACTCCTAGTAGCTGACAGTTTAGAGAGGACTCCTCCCAGCTCCTTTTAGTTGTGTCATAGTAGACACCTAATACAATGTAACCAATAAACGTTTTATAAAAGATCATCTGACCAATGAACGTTTTATAAACGATCTGCAATCACAATTCTAGTTGTTGTGTCAAAGAAGTCACCTAATACAATGTAACAATAAACGCTTTTTTTATGAGATCATGTAACCAATAAAACACCTGTCATCACAATTCTGTGTGTTGGTTCAAAATAGACACCTATTACAATGTAACCAACGGTTTAAAAAAGATCATGTAACCATTTTATAAAAGACCTGTCATCACAATTCTATTTGTTGTGTCAAAGTAGACACCTTAAACATTGTCACCAATAAACGTTTTATAAAAGATCATGTAACCAATAACCATTTTATAAAAGACCTGTCATCACAATTCTGTTCGAAAAGCTTTAATATCATTTTAATTCGGAAAAATTTCATTCCAACATATTTTTAAAGAAAGGTAGCGGATTTTTAGTTCTTTTGATTCGTTAAGTGTTCTTAGACTTCTACATAATCATTTTTACTTATACATGAATTTACGCTGCATAT